TAGATTATTTCATATTCTTGGCCAAATCTAGTCTTGATCAGAAAGTCAAAATTCACATTCTCCACCTGCTCATTTTCTCAGAGCTTATGAACTTTTGCTGCACTCAGTAACTTTGAGGGAAGCAGGAGTTCTTTCTCCATCTTTTCTGTGTTACCAGTGACCCACCCCACATCAATACAATCTATTCCCTTAAGTAAGGTCTTTTTTTGTCAAACAAACAATCTGCTTTAATAGGCAGCCAGGCTCTGGGGTTCAACACAGTGTCATCACATAAGTCAATGCTTTCCCATTTAGAGGACTTGGCACCAAAGGCTCTTTTGTGTCGAGACTTTGTGATTTTAGATAACCCGCAGCATTGAAAATATACTATAAGGCTTACTTTTATTTATACATTTTTCATACTTTAAACTTATTATTTAAAAAGTATTATGACTTTATAAACCATATCTGATGTCTTGATGCGTACACATTAAGCTAATATAAGAAGCTGTTGTTTTCGGTGTTTTCTATAAAGGTATAAACAGTGCCTGCATCCTGCTAAAAACTGACCTGCTGTTAGAGCAGAAGATATTTTTTATAGCTGAAAGTTTAAAGCCTTTGACTTAAATTACGCATTAAGATTTATAAATGTTTCTACCTTATTTTCTACCTTGACAATGATCGTATTTATTGCCACAACTGTCGTGCCCTCTTAGTTTTTTGGGTCAGTTGGTAATTGCATTTATCTATGAATCATTCCTGAATGCATTTATATGGTAATGTCCATCACTGTTAACTCCGACACCTAATAAACTAAACAAAGACAGGGCTTTGAACTTCAGAGCACCACGGGTGATCCGGTGTTGGGCTTATTCTTTTCAAGTCTGCTCCACAGCTGCAAAGCACTGAGAAAGTCCATGTCATGTTCAACAAAGAGGTGGTCATGCAATCAACTTAAACAAAGACTTTGGTCCCCCATGTTGCTGAAAGCAATATGAATGGATAACCTTGGTCGAGCCTTTTTTTTATTTAGACCATTGTAAAACTTTCTGCCTGTGCAGCTGTAGCCAAAACATGATGCATTTTATGCCTCGCGATGAGTTGGGACGGAGACCAAAATAATGAGGAGAGGAAGAAGAGATAGATGGGGGTAAGTGTTGAACACACATATACAATTAAGGGTGGAGGGTGTCGAAAAAAGCCCTAAGAGGCAAAAGGCGGTGGGGCCTGTGCAAAAAGCTAGCTCAGCAGGAGGTTCATTATTCCACCAACGGGATGCACTTTGCACATCCAGCTTGTGCAAACTCACACAAAGGATCGTAGCAGCATGCAGGCAGCAGAAAGTGAGAGTAAGGGGCTACCTCTTGCTGTCTTTTTTTTTTAGGGGCAGTGGCACTTTTATGGCCATGCTAATAAAGTGCCTCTGGGATACAGTACCTCCCACACCTCCGCCCATACGCACGCCAAGAACAGCTTGATTGGGCCTTAAGACCTGTGTTTATGGACACATGGATCAATACACTTCCTAAGGGTTTATATTTAAGAACAAAATGTGCAGCAGGATCGCAGATAAAAGGAGAGGGTAGGGACCCCAAAATGACAGTAACTTGATCCAGACTAAGGTTTATAAAAGAGCTTGTATCATTCTGATTTTATATCACCTTATATTACTCTTTTTTTCATACTTTTAGTGCCATGTGTTTTTTTTTATTTAAGGTGCAATGGCTGATTATTCCCCCCACATCTTCCACCCTTGATTCCCTGTGCCCTCGCTTCTGGCGAATGCAAATCTGGAGCGTGACAAATGATGTAAGGCCGCCTCTGACACGTTCCAGCCCTTGGCTTCCCTGTGTCGCTCCCCAGCTTACCTCCCTCAGCTCCACAGTAATTACCCTTGTTGGATCGCTACGCCTGATCATAGTTGATTTTGGGATGCACTGCCATTCTCTCCACTTGTTAGCCTCTCACACTGCCTGGTTCTGATAGAGCGCACTGATAATTTGGAGGCAAGGAAATGAGACACACAAACCGAGATACACTCATACTTCAGTTGCTGTTGCTGTGATGATAAATCGCTTGATTATCTAATCATAAAAGCCAGAGATGGGGATGAAAAGATAAAAAAAGAACAGCAATGTTTAAAAAGAAATAATTGATGGATATTTAATAGCCTTCGGTTTTGTAAATGGTGCTTCATAAAGGTCAATGAGTGAGGAAAAGCCTGCGTAGAAGTGTTTTCCAATTTGTTCTCAATTGATCTAGTTATAAATTCCAGGCCTTTTCTTCCAATGATGAGATAATTACTGCATTAGGAAAAGCGGCAAAAAAAAGGTATTTTCATTTACCTGTTCTGTACATGTAGGTCCCACGTAATACGAATAACCGCAGCTGATCTAATTTCCCTAATTCCCTTAACTAAATATGTTGCTTTGGCAGCATTTTGCAGTGTTGTGTTGACTGAACATGAACTGATCACCTTAGTTCAACACCACTCAATCACTTCAGCTCCAAAAGCATTTAATCAATTAAAACTGATGATTCAGGTTTGATTCTGGATTACTAAGCGTCTCTATCTTGTGAGCTATCTACTCTGTGTCTTGCATTGGACTTTTATGGAGTTTAAAGCTGATACACGGTAGATTAAATTTATTTTCACTGAAATATTTATTTTGCTCTGCTTACTCGGTAGGTTTCCATATTATGTTGTTTAGTTTACCAGATTGGTAAGAAGATTAAGTTTGCATGCAGCAAAGCAAACCACATGTGAACCAATGGCGTCTGCTATGTGAGCACGGAAGCAGGTCCTATCAGGGAACTGAATTTCTCTCATTTTGTTAATTTAGTTTAATTAATTTTTTCATATTTGTCTCTCAGTACATGCGTTTTTGTTCATTCAACTTTGTGACTCCCCCGCCTGATTTTTTTTATCGTAGCATACCTGCTACCGCAAAGAAATAGAAATATATTCGAGTTTCTCTTAAGATAAATTGAACATTCTAAAATGAAAACTTTCATTATACAGTATTTACAAAAAATACTGTGACATTTAAGCACATAAAACAATAGTGTAAAAGTAACTGAAGATGGTTTAATAGATCAGATTTCTTTTTTGGTGAGGTATATCTTGTAGTTCACTGCACGCATTGAGATTAATCTCTGTAGCCAAGCTGTGGCAGGATTCTGTAAAATCCAGTCTTTCCCTTATTCCAGTATTAAATGAGGCATAGAAAATTGAAAGATGAGTTGAATTAAAATTTTTAGGCTGACTACATTTTACATAATGTGCTTTCACCTTCAAATATGGGGCAATTTGTCACCTTACAACTATAACCACTTAAATGTATTTTACAAGGCTTTTATATGACCCAAAATGCAATGGTGCATATTTGTTTAGTGAAAAGCAAATACGTTTTTCATACATTTTTACAAATAAATGTTATGAAAATACACTGCAGTTAATTTTCAGTCCCAAAGAGACAATTATTTTTAGAATGCTGCAGTTTCTGCTACAAGACTTCCTGGGTATGTTTTTATGAACTTTTCATGCATAAGGGCTGAAATTTGAGCTCATGCTTTTATGCAGATTTTAACATCTATTTTTAAAATGTTGTCACATATTCTTAATTGAATTTAAGTTTGGACTTTAACATTTCCATTCTAGCACATGAATATCCTTCATCATTCTAATACATTCTGTCTTTTGTCTGTATGTATGATTAGGTTTGTTTGCCAAAGAGGAACCTTTGCCTCAGCCTCAAAGATTGTGCAACGTCCAACACCAGTATGTTAAACTCCAAGTTTTGAGCACCAGTGTCCCTTAACTCTTAGATGTCTCTTAGTTTCAACACGCCTGAGTCAAATAATTATGCAATTAGCAGGACTTTGAGGAACTTCACTGTGGGGTGAGAAGGTAGTCAACCATTTGGTTGATGTTTTGGACAATGGCCTTTGAGGACTTGAGTTTAACTTTCCTGTTGATGTTGCCCTGTGTTTAGCTCCATCTATCTCCTCACCATTCTGCCTGCTTTTTCTCTTTACTATTTGGATGGCCTGTTCAGGGAGAAGTGCAGTACTGTTTTTTCAGTTTTTTTTTTACATAGACCAAGAAGTTTCATTTTTTTAATCTAACCAGAGCAGCTTATTTCACGTGTTTGTTGTGTCCCATAAATAGCTTATGGCAACTTTAAATTGAATTTCTTTGGCTTTCTTTTTTTCCCCTCAATAATGGGTTCTGTCTTGCTGCTTGTTTTTTGGTCTTTATGTATGTTTTTAACCATGTTCTCTTAGAGATCTATACTTAAAGATAAACTGCACTTATATTGTCATAGAATTGCATACACATCGACATCTTTTACTAATGTGGTAACTTCCAAAGTCATGTGCACTGAATTCTGTTTGGGGATATCAAAGAAAAAAGGGCTAACAACAACTATATACAATATTTAAAATAAAATGTAAGGGGTGTGAGTACTTTTGCAAGGTATTGCAGACAATCATAGGGACATAACTACAACTTCTCTGTCATTGATATTTAAATGGAGATTAAGCTCATGATATTCTTTTGAGGTCAGGTGGATTCAGTGAGGCCTCACACAAAATAAAGTACTCAGGGAATCCAGGATTGATGTAAAATGGTTTTTGATGATGATGTAAGATGCAGTGTGTCACTGCCACATTTCCAAGGCCCCTAATGTCTTATTTGGATGTCCTTGTTCTTAGTCAGTGTGTTATCGTGGTATCATCAGTATGAATCAGGTCCGACTAATTTCCTGTGCTTTAACCTGTCTCCTTTCTTTATTGTCTCTTTGTATCCAGTAACTCATTTGGAATGTACCCTATAATGATTTTTATATGTCTCTTAAAATCCAGATCTCCTTCTCATCCCTATATCCTGCAGCAGCACAGCATTTATACCTCTTAAGTTTTTTTCCCATTTGGTCATGAGTTTCTTTGTTTGAAATGTGACTCCTGCTGAGATGTCTAACTTCTTATCTTGTTTTTTTTTTTTTTTTTTCTTTCAGAAACATGTGAAGGTTCTTGTGAAAGATTGACCCACAAGTTGGCCTTCGACAAAAAAGGCAAACGTCACCTCCCTCCTTCTCCAAACCGTTCTCTCTGCTCAATCAGTGGTTTCCTTGTAGGATAGTAACCATGGATGGTCTGAAGGCTAAGCAAAGGACTTTCTCATTTTACCCCAAGTTTGGAGTAGTTTTGGCTCTTTTTTTCTTCTGGCTTCTAGCAGTTCCTGCCATAGATGGGCAGACTTTCACTAGTTTCCATCCTGAACGACGGGATTGGGTTTTTAATCACCTGACTGTTCATCAAACCACTGGAGCATTATATGTTGGAGCAGTCAACCGTGTGTACAAGCTGTCTGGCAACCTGACCCTCCTTGTTTCCCATGATACAGGACCCAAGGATGACAATAAGGCCTGCTACCCTCCTCTAATTGTACAGCCCTGTTCTGAGCCCCTTGTGCCCACCAACAATGTCAACAAGCTTCTGCTCATTGATTATTCCCAAAATCGGTTGCTGGCATGTGGCAGTCTCTACCAGGGTGTGTGTAAACTCCTCAGATTGGATGACCTGTTTATTTTAGTGGAGCCCTCCCACAAAAAAGAGCACTATCTCTCCAGCGTCAACCAGACGGGGACCATGTATGGGGTGATTGTGCCGTCACAGGGCCAGGACGCAACGCTTTTCATTGGCACGGCAGTGGATGGGAAACAGGACTATTTTCCTACTCTTTCTAGCCGAAAGTTGCCACGAGATCCAGAATCTTCTGCCATGCTTGACTATGAGTTGCACACTGATTTCGTGTCTTCCCTTATCAAAATCCCCTCGGACACACTGGCACTCGTCTCACACTTTGACATCTATTATGTTTACGGCTTTGCAAGTGGCAGCTTTGTTTACTTCCTCACCGTTCAGCCAGAGACGCCAGAAAACAGCATGTCATCGAGTGGATCCAGCAGCGATCTCTTCTACACGTCCCGCATTGTTCGCCTTTGTAAAGATGACCGCAAATTTCACTCCTACGTCTCTCTGCCTATTGGGTGTGTGAAGAATGGCATTGAGTATCGCCTGCTGCAGGCCGCCTACCTCGGCAAGCCAGGCCGGATTCTTGCTGCTTCACTCAACATAAGTGCCCAAGACGATGTGCTGTTCACCATCTTCTCCAAGGGCCAGAAGCAGTTCCATCGACCGCCAGATGACTCAGCTCTCTGCGTCTTCACAATCCGAGACATCAATGCGAGAATCAAAGAGCGCCTGCAGTCCTGCTATCAGGGAGAAGGAAACCTGGAGCTCAACTGGCTCTTAGGGAAGGATGTGCGGTGTACCAAAGCGGTGAGTTGCTCTCAATAAAAACACACAGTTTACATATATAGATAAATAAATATTAATCTTTGTGGTCCTTCTGTACTAATCAATTTGCACTAGTTTTTAAATTTAGTGGGACAAAAATGTCAGGTTGAAGTCCTCAGAGGCCAAAAGGTATGATCTCTGATTGATTAAAATAGCAAAAATGTGTTTTATTTTAGGGTTAGTGTTTTTAAGGATCACAAATTCAGAATATTTAAATAAAGCAACTTGTCCAATTCCTCTAGAAGAGAGATATGTAAATTAATTTAGACCTGAAATATAAAAGTCTTGAAGGTTTGACTGGTTAAAAAGTAAAGCACAGCAAATGATTTCATTGTTTTTATATTTTTTTGTGTCTTGTGGTGAAAAGGACATGACACACTTGGATTTATTTTGCCAACTTTAATATATACATTTAATCTGTGCAACTTATCACCCAGAAATTGTGGTCTGCGTTTGTCTCCACTCACATTTACTCTTATACTGTACACTGAAAGGGCGTCTGGAAAAGAATCCAAATCTAGAAAAATCATTTTTTTCTTAAAATAAGTGCAATTGTTCTTGAATTGAGAAGCTAAAAGAGACATTTTGCCAATGGAACAAGAAAATCACATTTAAAAAAGGGGAAAACACAATTACATTGTCTTATTTCAAGTGCATTGTATCAAAATATCTTAATTTAAGAGTAAAAATACTCATTACATTGGCAAATCATCTCATTTACCTATTCAGGTTAAGGGTGAATACACTTAATTTAAGAAATTTCTACTTATTTCTAGATAATATTTCCAGTGAGGTGCATGTAACTGCCTTTAGAAATCAGCTTAGCGGGTTAAAGAGCAAAGATGCCTGTAACATAATTGTTGTGTAAATACAGCTTCTCTGTGAATGCCTCAATTTGTGAGAACATTAATGAATAAAACAGCATGATAAAGACAAGAGGTCTAGCAGACAGGTCTGATATGAAATCGTTGCAGTTTTAAGCAGTGTTATATTAATACAGACTAATGATACCATTCCAAGATCACATGTTACTGTTCAGTCCCTAATATGAACATCAAAGAGGTAAAAGTTGTAACCCACTAAAGGATGCCCCCCCCCTCCAAACTGACAGAATGGGTAAATAGAGCCTGAAACAGAGAAGGAGTCATGATTGACATGGAGCAGCTAGAAAAACAATCCACTTTTTTTTTTTTTTTTTTTACCATTATTATTGTTAGATTTGAACTCTTCATGAAATTCCTAAGCAGTCATGTTTGCAAAAAGCAAAAACAAAAGATGCTCTCCTTAGATTAGAGTAGATTTGACCATTTTTTGGTCAACATACAACATGTATTGTTCAATTTAAAACTACAGTAACACTATACTTCATTAGAAAACACCACTTTAATATATGGTAGCGGCAGTATCATGCTGTGTGGATGATTATCTTCATGGGAACATGGGTGAAACTAAACTCACCTTCACAGCTACAATGGAATGATTAAGCATGACCATTTTTGAGCAGTTGGCAAAGAAATAAGGACATACAGCAACATTTAATTTTCCAGATGTGAAAATGCAACCCAGACTTTCCTGATTTTTAATCCAGCTTTTAAGTTATGCACTATTATGTCTTGTTTATCATAAAAAAAAAATCCAATCTGATAAATTGTGAAAATGGGTATGAATACTTTTTGTAATTCAGAACACTTTACAATCAGTGAGGTCAGAGAACTGACAAACATCAGCTACATCTGCAGTGGTTTAATTCTCTCAAGTATAATAAGCTGTAAGGGAATTATTTAAGTTTCTCTGTGAGCCAAAGCAGCACAGTGCCTTTAGGGGGGGTTAGAATAAAAATAAACACAGCAATCATCCGGAAATGTTTCTGACTGCCTGGCATTTCATGCGCTCTATTATCAAATGACTCTCAAACTACTTGTAATGATGTCAAATTGTTTTGTTACTCTGATATCAGAGAACATCTACTTTCAAGTGCATTTCAGAGACACATTCATAAATTACGCAGTTTGTTTTTTCTCTCTCTTTGCAACCATCAAAGTGATTTTTTTTCCAAGCGTAGTCAAAATAAATGCTATTCCACTCAACAGGAGTTATGCGCATATGTGTGCATGCACGTGTGTGTGTGTGGGTGACTGTGAGCAGATTTAAAAGGGAGGGTGTCTAGGGGTTGCTCAAGTCTGCTTGTGATGCTCGTGTAGATCACACGCGAGTCCATTCCCTCTAAAGTTCCTAATTATCCCATAATAAAAAGGCTGTGTATCTGTTACATGTTGTCAAGTAGAATTAAGTTCCTTGATTCTCCTTAGGTCCCAGGAGGCTGTGGTCCTCTGTGTTTTCACTCTGCTGCAGCTAATAGGAATTTAAGATTATTAAGAATTAATGACTTCTGACTCACTCTATTATGTAATATATCTAAATATACAATGAAAAAGCCTGCCAGTCTTGGACATTAACATGTGCATTGTAAGGTTTAATGATATCCGTGTCTCTCATTGTGATGAAAACCAGCGATTATCTTCTTTGTTTGCTAATCCCCTTTAGGGAGCTCAATGGATCATATTCACTCAAATCCATATACGTGCCCGTTTTAAAACATCAGGACAGAGAGCAAAGAAATTATCTTTAAAAAAAAACTAAAAAAAAAAAAAATGGTGGTTGAGTTTTTATTAGTTCTACTGAGAGAGCAGAAAAGGATATAGCATACAGTGGTGTGGGCGTACGAAGTCGTGCAGTGGTGACAGTGCTGTGGCTTTGAGCCTTGTTATCCACCTGAGCTGGGATTAGAACATTCTTCCACTTTCCCTGAGAAGTCCCCAATCATCCCAATATGCACTGATGGTTGCCAGCTGTTACCTGCAATGACCGCTCCTCCCACTCTATTCTGCAGGCATGAACTGCCAATGATGTTCTGCTGTCCGCTTGGATTAAAGGCTACATGGCCTCTGTGCGTTTTGCCAGAGAGACGAGAGAAATGTCAAACATGGCCCTTTCGACCACGCTCACATGCTCGATAAGCAGCCAATAAATCCATAGTGTATTCTTGATTATGGAGATACACGTCAATGAATGTGGGAGTCTAAAATCACGATAAGTTGCATTTAGCAGCCAGATATGTCAGCCTTGCTAATGTTGCTGGGATGATGCTGAACAGTGCTGGAAGTATTACAGGTGCTGGTCATAAAATTAGAATATTATGAAAAAGTAGATTGATTTCAGTAATTCCATTTAAAAAGTGAAACTTGTATATTATATTCATACATTACATACAAACTCATATATTTCAGATGTTTATTTTGTTTAATTTTGATGATTACAAATGACAACAAATGAAAATCTCAAATTCATCATATCAGAAAATTAGAATATTACTGAAGACCAATAAAAAAAAAGGATTTATAGAAATGTTGGCCAACTGAAAAGTATGAACATGAAAAGTATGAGCATGTACAGCACTCAGTATTTAGTTGGGCCTCCTTTGGCCTGTATTACTGCAGCAATGCGGCGTGGCATGGAGTCGATCAGTCTGTGGCACTGCTCAGGTGTTATGATAGCCCAGGTTGCTCTAATAGTGGCTTTTAGCTCTTCTGAATTGTTGGGTCTGGTGTATTGCATCTTCTTCTTCACAATACCCCATAGATTTTCTATGGGGTTAAGGTCAGGAGAGTTTGCTGGCCAATTAAGAACAGGGATACCATGGTCCTTCAACCAGGTACTGGTAGCTTTGGCACTGTGTGCAGGTGCCAAGTCCTGTTGGAAAATGAAATCTGCATCTCCAAAAAGTTGGTCAGCTGCAGGAAGCATGAAGTGCTCTAAAACTTCCTGGTATGTGGCTGCGTTGACCCTGGACCTCAGAAAACACAATGGACCAACACCAGCAGATGACATGGCACCCCAAACCATCACTGACTGTGGAAACTTTACACTGGACTTCAAGCAACGTGGATGAAGTGCCTCTCTTCTTTTCCTCCAGACTCTGGGACCTTGATTTCCAAAGGAAATGCAAAATTTACTTTCATCAGAGAACATGACTTTGGACCACTCACCAGCAGTCCAGTCCTGTTTCTCTTTAGCCCAGGCAAGACGCTTCTGACGCTGTCTGTGGTTCAAGAGTAGCTTGACACAAGGAATGCGACAGCAGAAACCCATGTCTTTCATACGTCTGTGTGTGGTGGTTCTTGAAGCACTCACTCCAGCTGCAGTCCACTCTTTGTGAATCTCCCCCACATTTTTGAATGGGTTTTGTTTCACAATCCTCTCCAGGGTGCGGTTATCTCTCTTGCTTGTACACTTTTTTCGACCACATCTTTTCCTTCCCTTCGCCTCTCTATTAATGTGCTTGGACACTGAGCTCTGTGAACAGCCAGCCTCTTTAGCGATGACCTTTTGTGTCTTGCCCTCCTTGTGCAAGGTGTCGATGGTCGTCTTTTGGACAACTGTCAAGTCAGCAGTCTTCCCCATGATTGTGTAGCCTATAGAACTAGACTGAAAGACCATTTAAAGGCTTTTGCAGGTGGTTTGAGTTAATTAGCTGATTAGAGTGTGGCACCAGGGGCCATCAATTTTGAACCTTTTCACAATATTCTAATTTTCTGATATGATGAATTTGAGATTTTCATTTGTTGTCATTTGTAATCATCAAAATTAAACAAAATAAACATCTGAAATATATGAGTTTGTATGTAATGTATGAATATAATATACAAGTTTCACTTTTTAAATGGAATTACTGAAATCAATCTACTTTTTCATGATATTCTAATTTTATGACCAGCACCTGTAATCCATCACGTGTTTTTCTCATATGAATACAGAACAGCGTGCACTTATTGCCCTGGGTGTAGCTCTTTTTAAAAGCCCGTAGATTAAATGTGTTTTTTATAAATGTGTCGCTGCATTAATTCATGCTACAAAAATGTAGAACAGTTGGACTGTGATTTGAGTACTTTAATAAAATTAGGAAACAAAGAAAGACAATTGTT